GTGTTGAGCTCCGTTTACGGCTCGTACGTACGAGAGACGGTTTCTCCCTCATGGACCCCGACAGCGAGTGTTCTTTACATATAACGGAGGCCACGCCCCTCGTTAGACGCCCAAAATAAGCCCCGGTATTCTAATTGCTCATTCTAAAATGTTGTCTAAGACAACGGCAAAGTATCCGCTTACGCGTGTCGAGGTCAAGGAGCTGACAATGCACGCCGGTTTGCACGGTGGCACTATGGATAACGTGATTCTCGGCCAATTACCTAAGCGGATTATAATAGATTTCGTCGATAACAAGGCCTTCAATGGCAGCTATCAACTCAACCCGTTCAATTTTAAAAACTATCGTATTAATTTCTTATCGCTGTACGTCGACGGTGTTCAAGTACCCTCGAAAGCACTGCAGACCGATTTCGGGAAATCTGGTCTTTACGTGGACACGTATCATACCCTCTTCAGTGGCACGGGCATACACTTCCTCAACGAGGGTAATTCGATATCTAGGAGCGCATACGCAGACGGCTACTGCCTGTTCTTTTTCGATCTCACACCCAATCTCTCGGCAAATAGCAACACCCACTGGAACCTGATCAAGCACGGTAGTGTACGAATTGAGGTACGCTTCGACGAACCGCTTGCCAGAGCTACGGATTACCACCGCTGAATCATCACCACGCATCAAGACTCCGACAGAACTGTCGATCCTTCCGATGGAACACTCAGAAGCTTCAGAGCGAGACGTCAACGGTGTGCGGCCAATTCTGCATGATGTGTTTACACTACCTTTTCTCAGGCTTCGGGATGCATGCCTTCCAGAATGTATTTAGTAGTGATTTGCGGAGAACCGATAGAATCGCACGAGAGTACTAGGACGCTTTTGTGCGAAAGAAGCGCTTGGCGGATGGCCAGTATGCGCAGGATAATAAGATCTATGGTGGTGGAGGTGGTGGTGGTAAGATACAATATTCGCGCTGTAAATCTGTATACATGTGTTAATATTTTTTTATTAGAATAGTAGTTAATCTTGTGAAACAACAATTATTATTAATAATATATATATTTACATTTATTACTAACAATAATATTACTAACAACTACAAACTATTACTAAGCCTTATAGTGTATATACTCGCGTCCGTCTGTCCTACGAACGGACGGGTGAAATCTGGATATGCGAGCGTCGGCGGAGTCCTCAGGGCCTCTTCCATGGCTTCAAACGCTCGGGCCTGCTCCTTTTCCCAGCACCGTTGTCGGCTCTGTTCAACCATGCCGTGAGCGGTGCTGAACTCTCCGCAAATCCGTCTCTGAAGCGGCGGTACCATGAGACAATTCCTAAGAACCTGCGCAGCTGTTTCAAATTCCTTGGCGCTGGGTATTCCAGAATAGCGGCCACTTTCTCCGGATTCGTTTCCTGGCTCTCTCTACTCCCCAGGAACCTCAACTCGCCCCTGTGAACAACCAAACTCCCATTTCTCAGGGTTAATGGCCAAACCTACTCCCTTAACTCTCTTCAGAATTTCCTCCAGGGGAGTCCCCACTATGGGACTATCCCCTCCACTAGACGGCCTCTCGATCATCTCCCCCCCTAGCATTTCGTTCACCTCCCTCGTTCCTTGCCTCTAGCACCCGAGGGGAAATCTTGGGGTGCTGTTGCTTTCGGGGAGGATGTCCTCGCACGTTTACCCCGTGCCCTATCAGGTCCGTCAATCCTAAGGTGTGGCTGCCCGCTGGAGCGTCTTACCGAGCATTTCTTCCAATCTGGCTTCCTACGCCACTATCAGCTGCGGTAGACCTGCGTGCTCCGCCATTCCGGGCTCCCTGACGTTCTCTTCCTCCCCCGAGGCCGGTACACCGAAGCCCTCGGCGAGGTGGTACGCCTGATCCTCGTAGTTCATTCTACGTTCCAAATTCTTTCTCTTTCGAGCTGTCTCTCCTTCTAATGTCCTCGTGCTTCGCTTACGATACTAACCGGGGCGCTATCCCATCGGCTCTTTCATTGCACGTCACTCTGGTGGACGGTCACGTCTGTCAATCCTAGGGCGGGCCCGCCAGGGGAGAGCGCTCTATCGAGCATACCCTTCAGTCTGGCTCCTTGCTCAGCTGTCAGCTCCGATAGGCCTGCACACTCCGCCCCTCCTGACTCCCCGCCGTCCTGTTCCTCCGCCGAGGCCGGTATACCGCAGCTCTCGGCGAGGCGGTACGTATGGTCTACGGAGTTGATCCTTGCTCCAAACTGCCTCAGAATCCATCCCCAGGATACATTCGTACTCCAGTCCCTGGACTAGCTGCAACCCTACTTTTCCGGCCGCTCCCTCATGGGTGGCGGGCAGCTTCAGCCCGCACAACTCTTGGAGTGACTCTCCGTTGATCCCGATTACCTCCCCGCCCTTCGGCCTTTGGGAAGGCTCGTGCCCTAATACTTCGCCGGATTCCACCTCGACAGACTCTCCTGTCGGGCTCATTTCTCTTCTCTGAGGTGATAGGGCGTCCGGCCCTTGCCGGTCGTGAATTTACCAGTCGCGGTCCTCAGCGGAAACCGGAGTATTTGCGAATATGCGACGAAATTTAGAAAAATTTTCCAAACAGGAACCATCCCCTTCAAGAGTTTATTAGACGTATGACTTGATTTCTAATCTGTTTATTCTTTTCTTTTCTCGCTGAGCCAAACTTTTTATCTCTCGTGCGGTTGCCTAGCAGACGCACCAACAAGAACGATACCAGCGACACGGAGGAAGGACAGCGATCGGTGCAACTACATCAAAGAGACAACTGGCCCGGAAGCGACGCGCATCGGATGGTGTCACGTTCCGTGTACTAATTATCATGGTTTTTCCAAACACCGTTAATCCCCATCCTTCATAAAACTCCGCACCTCGTTATTCCCTACATACCGCTTCTTTACCGTTAATTCCTTAACCCTACTAAAACCTTCTATTCATATTTTTCTAATACCTTCTACGTCATACCCTTTATTCCTAAAACCCTTAAAAACCCATACCGTTGCCAATTTCCACTTTGAAGTCCCGTTACTCCCAAACTAGGTTTTCCCATTTTTCAACCCCTACCTTACACCACTCCCATTAATCTAAAAAAGACGAACCTTCCCTAAAAAACAGTAGTAGTAGTCTGAACATTGTACACGACACCTCTCTCCCGTGAAATACACATACTCTTGCACAACCTAAACGACGGTTTCTTTACTGAAGAAACCCACCAATACTTCCTGGAACCCACAACAAATATAAACTCGTTGATCTACGATCACCGAGTCGGATCGTAACAATGGGCGACGTTACCCCGCGCCGACTAAATCCTTCTCAGCTCCACACGATTACGCGAGCCGAGTACATTGGCTTACGACTTGACGGACACCGACTACTACCCGACTGGCCATTTATTACCCTTCAGGGACACTGACAGCCGTGCCCTATGACCCGCGTAAAGGGCCCGCTGCCAGAATTGAACACGTGCCCGCAAGAACGTGTACTGCAATGACAACGCGAGGTGGCCAGCAGTTACTGGCCCGCAAGACGGAATTATGCGAACACAAAGTTACTTGCAAAAAAGGCTGCAATTGTTGGAACAATCCGCGGAAATAAATAAGAATTACCAAAGTTAACCAAAGAACGAAAAGACAAAATGAGTCTATTTTCAAGCAAACTGTATAAATAAAATCATATTTCTTGTACAGTGTATAAAAGCAGAGCAACCAAAAATGTGTTTATGCTAAGTTTCGTGTAAAAATCAATAGAAATAAAAAAAGTAATAAACGTATATCTGAAACGATTAGCTTTTATAATAATACAAAATTTGGTGTAGACGTGGCGGGAAAAACGAAGTTTTGGTTTTTTTAAGTTTATAATTGAAATTATATAAAAATAAATTTGGACGAAATTTTTGAAAGTTCTTCATTTTATATACGTTCAGTAGTAAATTAACCATTATCAACGTTAAATCATAAAAACGATAATTTTTTCAATCACCGATCATTTTGACCGAGCACGATAGGAATAGATATGCAAGAACTGTCATTAAAATCCCATTTTAACTAGGCTAAAAACATGCACATATATTTATACAAAATAAGGATATTTTAAAATTAAATACAAAAGCCTCATGAAATTATTTGTGTACGACTGTGCATTCGATAAAAACAGATAATTCAATATTTCGTTATACGCTTTATCCGGGTATTAGGGGTTTAAAAATAAATATACGTATTATCATACCTGTAATTTCATCAATCTTGTGGAATACGACTTAAAGTACGAGTAATAAATCTTGCTCATCGTTCCAATATATTCACCACAAATTTCCTCCGCAACATTTCTTTCGTTAGCCAAGACAAATTCGAAGAAAAATTTATACTTTAGCATATTATTTTGTGGCACTTGATAATTGGTCATAGGTTTCCTGAATTTGTAAATCTGCTCTAATATATATGTTCTAATTTTGGACATGGCTTTAATTTTTAATTTCTCTAGTATTTCTTTAACATCCTGACAAGACTTCGCTTCCTTATAACTTTGTTCCTTCACAAAATTAATCTTATGATTTAAAGTTTGTAACTGCAATAGGAACTCTTTCTCGGTTACAGGTGCGTCCATAATGCCCCTGAAAATAAAACAAAGAAATAAAGAAATTTAAATGCATGAAGATTAGCATAACTTGATGTGACTATTGGTTAATCATACATAATAAGAGTTTCAGAGACTGTCATATCCTCAATAAATTGGCTAAGCGGCCCTCGTATTAGTTGACGGTTCGATAACTGCTGACTCATTATAACAGATTTCTTTTGTAAATACAAAATTTCTGTACTTATACTGCCTAAGTCCAATTGAAAATTCATCAGCATTGATTCCATTCTCTGTGAACAAGCAACATATATTAATTCCATACGTGTGTAATATAAATTCCATTCTGTAAATACATGTAACCTAAGGCTTGGGTCAAGGCCCCCACCTCCTTCCTTCATCAATTGTTACTGATTAATACAGATATCTATCTTAGAACTTCTGGAAAGTCTATCAGTGAAGATTATTACAACCCAGATTGTTTATAAGCAAATTAATTAGAACCTGCCATTCCTAAGACCAAAGTTCAAACTGATCTCGTAGATATTGTTGTTGAAGTTACCAACAAATTGTTGTCTTCAAAGTTAGCTATGTTGCCCGACAGATAGCGTCTTATCTTTGTTCTCGAGACAGTGAATCCCCGAATGACAGGTCAAGTTAGACAGAGCTGTCGAGAATACGAGTATTGGCGGTTTCTCTTTATGTACAATAATTTATCTTTCTTTTCCACTTAAACGCTATCGGATCGTATAACGAAGAATAAAACCAAATGTCTTCGCGTTATTCCCGAGTTTGATTTTACTGGCTTACTCAAGAGAGTAAACCCAAGAAAACTTTAATAGATATTTTATATTGCGGAGTCTTTCCTCATTTGTAGCTGAGAAAATCAAAGACTGCACAGAACCAAATTAAATTAGTGTATCGCATCTGTGTCGGATATTGATGGTTCTCTCCGAGAGAACGCCGCAGTCAAAAGGTTAAAAAAGTAAAAGAAATTATATTTCTGCAATGGGGGGCACCCCCTGCCATAACAATTCGAAAATTGCATTTTGACATTTCTGGAATTGTGAATTTCAAAATTTAAAGTTCAAAAGCGGTTTCAGCGACCTCCGAAACTCTTCGGATACAAGATATTTGAAGACTTCGCGAGCATACGAGGAATTCCGCCAGAAGGGCGTCAGGAAACGAAGGGGTGGTTTTGGTAAAAATACAACCGAACGTTATTGAGACGATTAGGCTTCTTAAGGGAAAACACCACTGTGAAAAAAAAATCGATTTTTTGAAAATCATTTTAATAAATCTTAAATATATTTAGAATTAATAATTCGTTGGGCTCAAGGCTCTAAAATTTTTTTTTCTCGAGATACAGCGAATTTTGTAGAGCAATGCGGAGCGCGCTCCGCGCGGCTTGGTATCCCGCGCGGCAGGCGGCTGACCATTAGCATCAGTTTATCGGTTGAATAAAGTGATTTGGTCGATGGCCCCCAAGTCTCAGTCGGGAGGCAAACTAATACTCGATATTGCGACCGACATCGCAGTATTGAGTTTCAACGACGGCCTCTCAAGTCTGATGAAAGTTGTGACGTGATTTTTCGAATCACGGTCCCAAGGCGGCTCCGGTTATCGATACAGATAACGTTCTCGATTTCTGGTTCTCTTCGGGTCGCCACCCTGTTCAGAAGCTACGCTCTCCGGTTGATTCGTACAGTTATGTAAAGGCTCTCGTAAGATTGTGTCAGTGTTTAGTTGAGGTCGAGGTGCTCGAATCTGCCGTGGGGATATAGTCTCGACGTACCGAGTTGCCCGGCAGAGGAGAGTACCCGACGGAGACGTCTCCACGGACCGGCAGAAGCCCGGGTGAGATACCGGCGCCCCGCTGGAGATGGGCAAAGGGCTGTAGAGCGGGCGGAGGAAGTTTTGATATGGTTAAGGGCAGGAGAGGAACCTCCTGCCCGAGTTAAGGATGTGGTGCCCAGCTGTCGCCCGATGCCCTGGGGAAGCGGCCGTGGAGGATCTCCAAAGATTACGTACCGATTCGTGAGGTCGAGGTGCTCGAATCTGCCGTGGGGATATAGTCTCGACGTACCGAGTTGCCCGGCAGAGGAGAGTACCCGACGGAGACGTCTCCACGGACCGGCAGAAGCCCGGGTGAGATACCGGCGCCCCGCTGGAGATGGGCAAAGGGCTGTAGAGCGGGCGGAGGAAGTTTTGATATGGTTAAGGCCAGGAGAGGAACCTCCTGCCCGAGTTAAGGATGTGGTGCCCAGCTGTCGCCCGATGCCCTGGCGAAGCGGCCGTGGAGGATCTCCAAAGATTATGTACCGATTCGCTAAGGAACACTCTCGATTAGGTTTAAAGGGACGACTCGAAGGAGATAGAAGAGTTATCGGTTATAAGGCTCTCGACCAATCAGAATGATTAGTTCTCGGATTTGGCTATTGTCAAGACAGTCTGTCTCGGGGCACCGACCGAGGTGTCACGGGCTGGCTCGTGCTCCCCTACTATCTGTTGATAGTTTTTCTTAGTAGTTATACAAGGAGAGTTCTGGACCAAGATTCCTGCACCGACAT